TCTGAACGTTAGAATTTAGCCTTTGACTTATGCATGAGAGTTATAGGCCCATCTCTTAACTTTCCTACAAAACAATAATCACATTAAAATAGGTCTAGAGCTAAGATATAACCTAAATACTGAGCAGTGTCAGAATATGTACTATGATAAAATAATTGAATTAAAGTCTAACTAGGACTCATAAAGCAACAATGGTTCAAATCAATTCAATTAAGTACAAAATAAGGTTAGTGTACTAAATATGAAGAGAAATATATATAAAAATCTAATTCGTCAACCATCAAGCCCATGCTTATCCTCAAAACACCCCTAAGTTGGCTTTTAAGCAAGGCTTCATGCTGAATGTGATCCTACTTTCCATCAAATTTTCTTTAATTGTGACAAAAATGATTCCTCAATTATCAGTAATTGATTCATGATAAGCTGCAATAATTAATAATAAATTAGTATAGAATATACATCAAATAAGGGCCAAAAATATAAAAATAAGTTATAAAAATACTCTAAAATATATGTATTAATGCATAATATGAAGATTGAACTCAAAAGAGAAATGGATAATTTAGATGACATTAGGTGTTGATATCTTTATTATGTGGAAAAGGAAGTTCTATCACTTTGTGATGCCGGGTGAATGGTATGGAGGGACGTTACAACAACCTAAGGGATAATTAGAGTTTGAATCTCTCTAATAGTCCTATGAGTGATCTTGGCAAAGAGATCTTTTTGTGAGTTTCTGCGCAGTACTCTTTTATCCCTACTCACTCCTGAGAAATATCTTGTTGGTGGAGCTAGTTGTAGCAATTGGAGGTTCAAATCCCTACTATTATACAAGTATTTGACTGACTAGTGAAACTTTCAACAACTTCTGAAGATAGACATGGATCCAGAGTTTACATAAGCATGAAAAATATTTTAGGTCAAACCAAAAGGCAACATATGCGTATGTCCCATGCATGATGGTCTTGCATGGAATTGAAGATGTATGAGATGTGTGCTTGTGAATGGATGAATGAAATTTATTATATAATATTGGCTAACTTGATTTTTAAGAAAATCAAGGTTTTATATTAGTTTATTTTTCTCCTATTTAATTCTTTCTTTTCTTCAAAATTCTAATTTTCTTATGAGCATTTAAAAAGTCTCACCCTCTTATTTTTCTAATCTTTGATGTTGTGTCTAGGAACACAAATGTACTTGAGGATTATAAAAAGATTCTATCAGTAGAATTGCCATGCTTAGAAACATAGCTACGCTAGTCGGATCATGGTGATACAAAAGGAATCTTATTCACATGTAAACTTTCATAGGTTATATAGGGTATTGAGAGTCTTATATCAATCTCCAGGGCTACCAAGGAGGAAAGTCTAACAAGTTTTTTATAACTTAAAAGTATGTTTACTTGTTTCACTAAGTTAGTATTAAGAACTAGTTTGAATCGTGTGTTGCAAAAAAAGAAAAAAATAGATATTTCTGTCATTAGAAGAAAAATGTTGTTGCAAGATGTAGAAGTTCCAAAACTAAATGTGAAAATGTAAATTCATATACTAATAGAAATTTTAAAGATAAAATGTAACTAATGATTGAAAAATTAAATTTAAGAAAAGAAACACAAATAGTTGGGTAGAAATTCAAATACAAATGGTTAAGAATTAGATTTATCCACGATTTCACTTCATGTAGAACAAAAACTCCAACTCAGATTCCATAATGACATTGCTTGATCAAATTATCTGGTGTAGTCTTATTCAATTTCTTAATTTTCATAGGTAAATTCAACTTCAAAATAACGTTTGAGTACAAGAGATATTGATAATCATAGAGTCTTGATTCCTTTATACAAGTAACTAGAAAATGGTAAAACTTACCTCAAATCCTAAGCACATAGCCAATGTTTCCCCTGCCCAATATGTTTAAAAATTTATACATTTGATTGGCCAAATTAAGGAATCATTAAGTGCAAAAGTAAAGTAATACAATTTATTGTGAAAAATTGAATTTAATAGATTTAACTAGCCTACCAAAAGATCCTTTACACGGAATTGGAGGTCCAATGGCTAGAGTCAAGACTAAGAGGATGAAACAAGTTTTGCAAGGTCTAATCATGAAAATCAAAGGAAAAGAAGATCCAAATGGGTTACAAGTTGCACTTAAATGAGTCACACATTCTTACAATTTCATGTTGACACTTTGAGTCCAAATTAAAGAGAGCAATTTGGAGAGCCCAATTCTCATAATCAAAAAAGTTTTCATGGGCTGTAGTTTAATTAGTTTGGACTTGATTATTTAATAAAAAGCTTAATTTTTTATTTTTCAATGAATTTTCATATTTATTTTTAGGTGAAATTTTCAGTTAGCTTTCTGTATTTTCAAGTTATTTTTTAGTTGTCTTTAAGTCTTCCAAGATCTTAATTTGGAAAGTAGGGTGTAGTTAAAATCTACTTATATTTTTAGTTGTCTTGAAGTCTTCCAAGATATTAATTTGGAAGGTGAAGTATTTAAAATTCACTTAGTTTTTTGTGGATAACTTAGCCTATAAATAGGACTCTTCGTAATACATTTGAGGCAAGTTGAATTTGAATAAAAGTATAGGTTTTCTCCCTTATACAACTTCCTTTTTGTTATTACATTGAGAACTAAATTTTGTATTGTCAGTTCTATCGACAGATTGTAATTAGGGTCAAGTTACTTTTTTATTATCTTATCTATTTTCAAGGTGATCCATAAGAACATTTTTGTATCATAATTGAATGAGAAATAAAATTATATGAAGTCCAATTCAGAATTCTTCCTATTCTAACCCACATAATCAAAAAGATATTTCACAAACAGAGAGCATGAAAGGATATCTACAGAAATAACGTCCATTAACACTTATCTTCATATTCAAAGTATCTCACTTGAATCTGGTACAAGTGAGAAGAGAGAGAATGACATAATCCTATCTACAAAATAGAAAAATAGAGAAATAAAAAAACTAAGAACTATGATTTAAAAGAAAACTAAAATAAAAAAGCTTTCTAATCTATTGCACATTGAGATATTTATAAATAATTAATGACTCAGTGTTCAACCTATTGTTTGTAAAAGTTGGCATACATGTCAGCTTCAGGAAAGTTTAGGAAGATTCAGATTGTCTCTGATGTTCACTAAATGTCAAGACACTAAATTTGAATGTTTGGACTTATGTTCTATTCTGAAGCTTCGTCTTAGTAGAAAGTAAGGTCATAGACTTATGTTCCCACTTGCAACTTCTCTCTCTACATCATACTAGTTTCTTACTTCATTTGCATTTTAATTGCTCTTAATTTGAGTCACATACAATCTTCACGTAAGAATGCACTAAAATCAATCAATTCAATCCTAAAAACTATAATTGAGCCTATTTTCTTTTCATTTTATAATCTATGCAAAATTTCATCAATTTTGGTGTTATTCTTATATAATTTTATTCAATTTAGCACCATCTTTTTGTGAAATTAGGATTGCTTCGTGGTCAAAGAAGTGAGCAAGGCTAAAGAAATATCCTTTCACAGACGTTATTAGGTTATTTTATCAGTTAACACAATTCTAATTGTAAATATTAATAAGACTAATTACTTAATTTTGCTATTAATCATAAAATGTAGGTATACAGCTGTGCAATATAGTAAATGGAAAAGTAAATATTTTTGGGATAAAATGTAATTTGAGCAATTCTATTAGTCAAGTAAAACCAGTTGAAGCGTGGCTATTTTGAACTTTTTTCCTTTTTTCTTGAATCAACTCAACCCTAAACTTTACTTAATGGTTCCGTGCCATGTACATTATATAATATTGTTTTAGTAGCATAAATGATTGTGTTCTACACATTGACTTCTAACTCATTTCCAAGCCATCACGAGACCTACTAAAGGAGGGATCACACACCAACCATTATTACTTCCTAAGGCTATGTTTGGGAGTTAGGTTTAACAAGGGAGGGGAGGAAAGGGGAGGGATTAGAAGGGGATTAATCTTGTTTGAGAGTTGCTTAATTAAGAGGAGAAGGTTTTGGGAGGTTTTTTCTAAACCCTTCAAAACCCTCTAAAAGCTTATTTTTTGAGTTCCTCCATTTTGAGATTTTCTCTCTCCCACTCTTTCATATTATTTTATAAATAAGATTTTTTTAACTTTTTTTTAAATAGTTTTTCAAGTGATAATTTTTTTTAAAAAATTTTAAAAAATAAAAATATTAATTCTAATTATTTATATAATTAAACTTTCTATCACCTCTCTTCTCAATATTAAACATCCAAACAAGGTAAGGATTTAACCTCCTTCTTCATTCAAACACTTTCCTTTTCTCCTCCTCCAAACTCTCAAATAAAGTCTAAGAGACATAATATTAGAATTTAGGCATGTGCCCTTTAACATAATTTTAGTTTTTTGTTCTAAAATCATTAAGAATTTTAGAACAAATTAAACTTTATTCATATCTTGTATCCTTGAATTCAAGAAAAAAAAAACTAGCAGATATTAAAGTATAGATCATCATATAGACCAAGAAAATAACAAATGAAGCAACAAGCAATGTCATTTTTTTAATTGTAAGCGATAACGAGCTGTAAGATAATGAAAAAACAAGAAGCAAAACCCATGCTAAGTCTAAACAAAAAGGAGTTGATGGTATTGTACTTTTGGGGGGGGGGAGCCACTAAAACCTACTTTTAACTAATGCCATAACAACAACTAACATTAAATTAGCGTATGAAACCACAAGTGTAAGTAAATTTAATCTTTAAAATTATAAAATTATCAAAAAGCAGCTATTTTAGTTTTCAAATTTATAAAAATAAAGACTAAAATAATTTATATTTGATAATTTTAAAGACTAAACTAATATTTTGATAGTTTCAGAAACTAAATAAATCAATATTTGTAACTCTAATGTGCTGTATCACTCCATGCCAACAGCTGCAAAAGTGTCTTCTTGCTCACTTCTCACCAACCAAGCTTTAAATGCAAAACTACATTATGTGCTACTCGGAATCACTGCCCAAGTTTTCCATTCCTTTCAAGCCTCTGCGCTTATGCTGCATATCCAAGACAAGCCCAAAAGCATTTCAGTGTCCCACACAACAATACACACAAGATGATAAAGATCAAATATATATATTCTTAATAGAACAAGATACAATAATAAATAGCCTTCATAATAATTTATTTTCCTTTACTAAATAGTTTTTCTAGTGATTTTTATTTCCTATTTGGTCTCTCTAAATGTTATAAAATTTTCTGTTGGGTCTCTTTATATATATCCTGAATTTTTTATTTGGTCCCCTACAAAAAGTAAATGAAGAAGTTGTGATATTTAGAAGGATCAAATGAAAAAAAATACACAGAATAAGCGATTTTGTAAAAAATAAAAAATAAAAATTATGAGACACATTTGAAAAATATTAGTTTTAAAAACCTAAAAAATAAAAGAATAAATGAGAAAATTGAGAACTTTTTAACCACTAAAATCTTATAGCCAAGAAGAAATATGTGAAATAGAGTGAACAAATTGAATAGATCCCTGACGCCCCAGTATAGTCCAAATATAATGCTGAAAGGGTTACCTTCTTCACAGATTTCTTCTCCCTAACCTCATATCTGCTCTTTGTCAGTTCTGATAGCCACATCCCAGGGAAACAGTACTGCAAACCAATTATAACATAATAATGAACATCATAAGAAACCAACTTGTCACTTGTTCTGGTTTAAAAATTAGATAAGCATAAAATTGAAAGTTAGAGATTTTGCTGCAAAAGAATATATGTATTTTTTTAGTTTTTGGGTAATACCTGTAAGGTTCTGTCAATGTTCTTTGCTCTCTTCTTTGGTCTTTGAGGAATTTTTGTCCCTTTCATAGCAAGAAAGTCATCTTCTTTCTCCTTTCTCGAGAGAGCAATGTATATTCTTGGCCACTCGATTACCTCAAGAGTGACATTTTCTCTATTAGCAGAAGCAGTGAGAATCCCAGCTTCTTGTTCAGATGCTGAATCCCCATGGCCATGACTATTCACTCTCTCAGAGGCTTGTGTAGTTGAAGATCCACTTGTTGGCTTCTCACACTTTGCTGCCATCCTTCTGTTGCTTCTTTCCATAACAGAATATGATGACAGTTTTGGTCTTGAAACAACTGGGTTGCTCCCTTGGCTGTTTTTTGAAGGTGACTCGTTTCCAGAGGCATCTTCCAAATTCCTGGTCATGATGTTTCAAAAAATATGATAATAATGCAAAGCAAAGAATGTTTCTACACTGGATCTTATAACACTAGCAAATAATTTTTGGGCACATCTAGTTCTACCAATTTTTTACATGATCGTATAACAATTTAATCCCCATTTCTGTTTTTAGCATAACTAGGGATATATATAGTCTCACTTACTAAAATTTAAAGACACTAGACAGATAAACCTTTTATCTTGTTTAAATTTGAAGCAGAACTTTCAGAAAATAGAGGGTTAAAAGACAATTATGTTATAGATTCTGAAACCAAAACAAATGGGTGGAACAACATATAACTAATTGTCCCCTCAAATGGTTGGGAAAACAGTATGAATACTATATCTAATCTTACTCGTTTGTAACTTTCATGTTCAATGCGAGGACAAGATAAAAAGGGAAACAAAGCAGAACATAAAGAACAGCAAGGAAATCCAGAGAAACTTGGAAGGAAGTTTGGTCAATTTTGGAATGACAAAATGAGAAAATAGTCCACTTTGGTACTTTCTACTGAGTTGAGGTTAGGCAAGCTTGATCCAAATCCAAATATGATTAAACCAAAATGTTTTCCTTGACAAACCTCAAGAAAAAGTGATAATAAAGGTAGATATGCACAAGCAATTGTACCCTCTGACAAAGCATAGTTAATTACACACAAATATATTTATGTAAATAAAATATACATATGAACTGTTTAAGAGAGGTTAAAAAAATTGCAACGAAAATGTTCATACCTAGGGTTATCCTTTCTACCTCTGCTGCCATTGGAGGCAGTACAAGAAGCAAGTGGTGGCAGTGGCGGTGGTGGTGGCGGCGGCATGGATGCAGAGGAGAACTTGGCAGGAAGGGGTGCAGAGACAGTGTGGCTGATTCTCTTGTTCTTGGTGTGAACAGAAGATGATGAATCTTCAATGGAAGCCCTTGAGACCCTTGATCTCTTCCTGTGGCCCCACTTCAACAGCACATCACCACTTGGACTGGTGCTGTTGCTGGTGCTGCTGATGCTGTGACTGTGACTTGTCTCAGTTGTCTGAGGAGAATCAAATGGGGACATGTCGTTTTATGGCTTATGACCTTGGCCTCTTCAGATCAATGAGAATATGATGATATGAATCTGAAACCTTTGCTTTCTAAACCACCATCACCACAGTAGGGAGATGCAGATGCTGCTATAGCTGTTGCTAACTCACCTTTGCATTTGTGTTATTATTATTTATTATTATTGGTCTTGCATGTGGTACCCATGATGCTCCCTTTCCACTCCTTAAAAAGAAAGTTAAAAAAAAGAATCCATCAATATATCAGCAACATCCCCACCGTTAAGAAGTCAATTCCAGAGAATAATAAAGTTAAGTAATTGCTCCTCCCCACAGATTCAATATCTCCATGTACATAACATAACATAACATAACACCAAGATTTGTGACTTTTTATTGTTTTTTGCTTCCTAATAAATTGATCAAGAAAGAAAATATGCATTAACAAAAATGTTTCTACCTAGGCAAAACGAAAGAATGAACTAAAATTGACAACTAAAATAAAAAAACAGCAATCTCAAAGTGATGTGAATTAACAGCAGCTAGACCTCATCATTACGTTACTTCCTCCGAACAATGATTATGATAGAAAATGGAATTTTACCGCAGAAACATGATGTCTTCTTTACAAAAGGGTACAGAGAGCCGATGCATAATGCCATGCTAGAGTTATGCTGACAAAGAATAAAGCCGCACCTGCGAGTGATGAGTTTTTTAGTATTTTTCTTTTTCCAATTTTATAATTTGCGACGATTATATTGTTTGAATATATGATATTATGCAAATTGTTCAAGCCCTTATGTATTAGCCCATTTTATTATTTTCCTCGAAACACTCGTTTGATACTTATGTTTTTTATCTTTATACATATAGCATATTTTATAATAAATTTTTATAAAAAATTTTGTTAAAATTAAGTATCTCAAATGTTAAAAAATTAAGATTTAAGTCATATCATCAATTTTAATTAATATTTATAAATAAATTTCAGAATATATTTTTAATATTTGCAAAAATAAAATAAAATTTCCTATCCCTTTACCCTACCTTCACTCCTAACCCATTCCCCTCCTACTCCCCATAGCCCCTCCCCACACAACCACCACGCAAACCATAAACTCTTTTTTTTTTCTCTCAACATTCTATCATCTTCAACAATATATGCTACCCATCAGCTGCTACTATTATCTATTGCAATTATTCAAACACCAAAACAAAGGGGAAGAGGAGGGAGAGGGGTAGACTGAGATGTGGAGAAGGGGAGAGGGAAAGGGTACAGGTGGGGGAAGATAGGAATAGACAAAAAATCCATAACTTAAGCCTAGTTGGATTTAAAAATTTATATTTTTTAAAGAATCAAATAATTTAAATATGACTTGGATATGATAATATTAAAATTGGATTTGACTTGAGAAAACTAAATTTCTTCTTCTCCATCTTTTAAACCAAATTTAAATATGACTTATCCATAACTTACCTATTCTCTTTCACCATAGCTAGATTACTAGGTATCTCATTTTCTCTCGTTATAGTATCTCACACTACAATTTTTCTAAATTAATTCACGGTTACATCCATCCAATTTGCACCTTTTGAAAACTTAATTTGTGATGTGATACCAAATAAATTGATGGTCCAATTTAGATAGATAGGATTAATGCTTTTTTAATTTATTTCAATTTTTTTCAATATAACTTACCAAAATAACTTCTTTTCACCTTATTTCAAGAAATTTTATAGTCAAATTATAATTCTTATAAACTCTTTTTAGCTTATTTTAACAGGTTTCTGGGTATAACTTATCAAAGTAAGTTATTTTTAGTTTATATTGATAAATTTTATGATTAAATTTATAATATAAATCATCATTTAAAAAAAATACAATTAGATCTTCTTTATGTTCTAACCCTTTTTTATTACACTGAAATGTCCATTGCTCGTAACTCAAATTTAGAAGGCATTACAATACTAGGAAGTGTTACATGTGATAAAAAGATGCAAAGTGAACAAGGTATGAATAAAATGATTAGAGGTAAAAAGTCAATAAAAACTGATAAAAAAATAATTATAAATAAAGAATTTGTGTTAGTTGATTACTTACAAGGATTCATACCATGAGAAATGAAATTGCTAGCAGAACATAGTACGCTACTTAGTTTAGAAATTTTTCCATATTATATGAAATATTCCAAAATTATTTACCCTCAAGACTGATATAAACATGACAATGCTTGTAGGATTCTTAAAGTCTACAATTTTTCACTATTCACTTGATATTTATCTAGCTTAAAACCTGGTATTTTGGCTTGCTTGCAAATATGATATTATCTAGCTTGAAATATCTTTACACTTTGATATCCTCTCTAAGTCTATGTGGCTCAGAAACCAGTAAGAGAAAGTGACCAAGTAGTGCTTAGATCTCTTAAATAGGACAAGAGAGAATTATAGCTTAAAACTCTTAGTAGAGAATGAGAATTTGCTTATTCAACTTGATGCTAAAATGAGGAGTACAATGGGGTATTTATAGTATTATAAGGATGGTTCTAGAACATAGATTATTTTATAGTAGTTATTAAATAAGATAATTCTAGATTAGAGATGTTTCTAGAGAATGGATAAGTCTATAGAGTAAGGATATTTCTAGACTAGGGATGTTTCTATATATTGGGTCATATTGTTAGGGATGTTTCTAGATATTGGGCCATACTCCCTTGGTTGGAAAAGACTCGTCCTCAAGTCTAAGTATTATCTTCATAGTAAGGCGGTAGATCTGCAACGTTGAATGTAGCATAAACTCCGTATGACTCAGGTAGTTCTATCTTATAAGCATTGTCATTGATCTTATGTACTACTCGGAATGGTCCATATGCTCTTGGAGACAATTTAGTATTTTGCTGCTTTGGAAATCTATCCTTCCACAGATGAATCCATACCAAATCTCCTTCTTTGAAAATAGCATGTCTCCGATGCTTATCTCGTTGAGTTTTATACTTGGTATTTTGCTTCTCAATTTGTGCTCGAACTTGCTCATAAAGCTTCTTAATCTCCTTTACTCTTTGGTCAGCATCGGTATTGAACTGGTTATTAGTGGGAATAGGGATAAAGTCCAATGGCATAAGAGGTCTAGTACCATACACGACCTCAAATGGACATTTTCCAGTAGCAGGATTACTGGAATTGTTGTAGGCGAACTCAACTTGAGGTAAGATAAGATTCCATTGTCGAAGATTCTTCTAAACAAAGCTTCGTAGTAGATTTTCCAGAAGTCTATTTATAGCCTCTGTTTGTCTGTCAGTCTGGGGTGGCTAGCACTGCTAAACTGTAGTTTAGTGCCCATTTTCTTCCATAGAGTCCTCCAAAAATGGCTTAAGAATTTAACATCTTTATCTGAAGTGATGGTTTTGGGAATTCCATGCAGTCGAACAATCTCCTTGAAGAATAGATCGGCAATGTGAACAACATCATTAGTCTTTTGGCAAGGTATGAAATGGGTCATTTTAGAGAACTGATCCACGACCACCATTACTGAGTCCTTCTGTCGTTGTGTACGAGGTAATCCTAACACAAAATCCATGCCGATATCCTCCCATGGTGCAACTGGTACTGGAAGAGGTAGGTATAGCCTAGTGTTTTGGCTTGTGGACTTGGCAAGGTGACATATTCGACACCTTTGAATGTGACGAATAACATCCCTTTCAAGTCTCGGCCAATAGAAGTTTTCTTTGATTAAGGCTATTGTCTTGCCTCGTCCAAAGTGTCTGGATAATCCTTCGTCATGTGCTTCCCAAATGATTGCTTTTCTTAAGAAGCATTGGGGAATACACAAGACATTGTTTTTGAATAGGAATCCTTGTTGTTGATGGTAATGTTGGAAAGGTTGATTTTCTGTAGAGCTCCAAAGTTCTGAAAATCTAGATCATCTTGATACAATTCCTTAATAATTTCAAAACCTACTACCTTCATCTGCATTGTAGATAGTAATGCACGTCGTCGACTTAGCGCATCTGCTACACTGTTTTGAACCCCCGACTTGTGTTTAAGCAGAAACGGATAGGCTTGAAGGAACTCACTCCAAGATGCATGTCTACGACTGATTTTTTGTTGAGAATTCAAGTGTTTCAAGGCTTCATGATCTGTATAAAGGATGAATTCTTTAGGAAGCAGATATTGACCCCAATGTTGCAGTGCTCTCACAACAGTGTAGAACTCCTTGTCATAGGTGGAGTATTTGAGTTTAGCATCATTTAGCTTCTCTCTAAAGAAAGCTATAGGCTTTCCTTCTTGACTGAGAACAACACCAATGCCGTTATTAGAAGCATCACAGCTTACTTCAAACACCTGATCAAAGTTAGGAAGTGCTAAAACTGGAGCTTCAGTTAGTCGTCTCTTTAACTCATCAAAACTATTTTGAGTGCGTTCTGACCATTGAAATTTATCTCTTTTAATACAATCTGTAAGCGGGGCAGTAATGGAGCTAAAATTCTTTATGAATCTTCGATAGAACGAGGCTAATCCATGGAAGCTCCGTACTTCTTGCACATAGTTAGGGGTAGGCTAGCTAATGATTGCTTCAACCTTGCTAGGATCAACCTTGACACCTTCACCCGTAATGATGTAGCCCAGAAAATTTACTTCATTGGTCAAGAAGGTGCACTTTTTGAGGTTGGCATACAACTTTTGCTCTCGGAGAACGCCCAACACTTGGTAAATATGGTTTAGGTGTTCTCCTTTGCTTTTGCTATAGATTAAAATATCGTCGAATAAACAACTACAAACTTTCCAATGAAAGGGAGTAGTACCTGATTCATCAAGCGCATGAAGGTGCTGGGTGCATTGGATAAGCCAAATGGCATGACAGTCCACTCATATAGCCCATCTCTTGTCTTGAAAGCGGTCTTCCACTCATCACCAGGACGTAGTCTAATCTAATTATAGCCACTGCGAAGGTCAATCTTCGAGAATATGACTGCACCATGTAGTTGGTCTAGCATATCATCGAGTCGTGGAATCGAGAATCGATACTTTATGGTTATCTTATTCACGGCTCGACTATCCATGCACATTCTCCAACTTCCATCTTTCTTGGGCACCAATATGATAGGGACTGCACATGGACTGACACTCTCCAATATTTACAATTAGAAGATCCTCCACTTGACGTTGTACTTCAGCATGTTCATGTGGGCTCATCCTATAAGCAGGTTTATTTGGGATAACAGCTCCTGGGATGAAGTTGATGGCATGCTGGGTATTTTGCAAGGAGCTTTTCTATTTCTTGTGGAATAGGTGTTCCAATGTTTTGTTCGACCATGAGTAATAAGCTTGTTGATTGAGATTCTTCTCGCGTCATCTTAAGTTGTAGTTTAGAGATTAGGGATACGAGTGGTTTGGCTTTGCGTGAGGTTAGGTTGACTTCTTCTGGACCCAATGGAGTCAACTTGATTCTCACTCCATCTTTGACAAATGAGTAGATATTCTTAAACCCATCATATACAATCTTCTGATCGTATTGCCATGGATGTCCCAATAAGAGGTAACAGGCATCCATGGGAAGGACGTCACACCAAACTTCATCTTGATATTTTTTTTCAATTAAGAAAGCAACTAGGCAACGTTGACTAACCTTGACTTCACTACTCTTATTCAGCCATTGTAGCTTGTAGGGATATGGATGATCCTCAGTAGGAAGCTTCAATTTCTCCACCATGTAGCTAGACACAATGTTTTCACAACTTCCACTATCGATGATGACATCACAAATTTTACCTTGAGTGGTGCATCGAGTGTGGAATATATTGTGTCTCATCCATGGTTCTTCTCTAACGGCTGCTATGTGAAGACTGCGTCTAACCACTAAGGCTTCTCCATGATCTGCTGGGGTCAACTCTTCATCAAACACTGGAAGACTGTTGAAATCATTTTGGTAGAATTCAGGTTCTTCTTTAGATGCTTCGTAGGCCTCTCCTTCAATGATAGTGACAACTCTTCGATTGGGACAGTCGAAAGCAATGTGCCCATAACCCTGACATTTGAAGCATTTGGGCGATTTGGATTGGGTTGGTTGTTTGGGGCTAGTGTCTTTAATAGGGTTGGAAAGGGTTTTGTTTGGAGCTGTACGTTGCGATGGTTGAGCTTTGCAAGGGGTAAAAGGGCTTCGTGAGGATGATGGTTGGAAAATTGATCTTTTAGGGAGTTGCTTTTCGACTCGAATGGCTAACTTGATGACATCATCTAGGGTCCAATACTGTTGTAGTTGGACAAGTTGGGAAATTTTAGGATTTAGCCCTCCAAGAAATCTAGCAATTGTTTGTTCTTCCTTCTTTTGTATATCGCATTTCATCAGCAACAATTCAAATTCTCTAGTATACTCCTCTACTATCTTAGAATCTTGGTGTAAATTATGGAGCTTAATAAAATTATCTTGATAGTAGTGGTCAGGAAGAAACTTACGTGTGAGTTCTTTTTTCATTTTCTCCCATGTCTTTATCTTGTTTCGGCCTTCCCGTTCACGTTTCTTCTTTATATTTTCCCACCAAATGGATGCATGCTTCTTCAGTTTAACAACAACGATCTTGACTTTTTGTTCCTCCGGAATATCTTTTAATTCGAACACAAGCTCCACTGTCTGTAACCAATCCACAAATTCATATGGTTGTAGTCTCCCCTCAAATTTAGGAATGTCTATCTTGATGTTGTCGAAGTAGCCTCGAGTGCTCTTTCTTCGTGGGTGACTGGTGTTAGACGAAGAGTTACTTTCTTCAGAATCATTTTCTGAATTGGAGTTCCTTCGACGATTGAGTAGAGCTTGTTGTTCCTTCACAATTTCTTGTAGTTCTTGAATTTGTCGGCGTAACTCGTCCATCTCGATCTCTTGAGCATTCCTTCGATTTTGGCATCTTGGTGGCATTTTGTTGTATGGGTGGGAATAAAATTATGAAAAGGTTTGGGATAATATGCGGCGCAACAATGTTGAATGCGTGGTGCTCACGCGACTGATGATGTCACTGTCTTCAACCTCTCCCGAGCGCGTCTATGGTGTTGGCTTGTTAAGAAATGACTCAAAATGCTTCTTAAGAGTGACCGAAACTAATTTCAGTAAGGAAAGAAGCGAAGAGAATTTAGGTCAATTCTAAACGACCAAGAGCGTAGGAAGCTAGGAACCTGGCTCTTGATACCAAATGGCTCAGAAACTAGTAAGGGAAAGTGACCAAGTAGTGCGTAGATCTCTCAATTAGGACAAGAGAGAGCTAGAGCTTAAAACTCTTAGTAGAGAATGAGAATTTGCTTATTCAACTTGATGCTAAAATGAGGAGTAAAATGGGGTATTTATAGTATTACAAGGATGATTTTAGAACATAGATTATTTTATAGTAGATATTAAATAAGATAATTCTAGATTAGAGATGTTTCTAGAGAATGGATAAGTCTAGAGTAAGGATATTTCTAGACTAGGGATGTTTCTATATATTGGGTCATATTGTTAGGGATGTTTCTAGATATTGGGCCATATTGGGCCACTATGTGAATTTGAAGCATGTCCTTGTATATGTTGAAACAAGGAGAAAATCTAGCTTCTTTTAAATTTTGAAAAATATCTGATGGCTCTAGATAGATCATTTAAAGCAACAAATGACTTTATTAACACAAGATATGCTGAAAGATTAACAAGGCAATTTGAAGCCTCTATTTCCTTAACTACACCCAGTGCCTCTCTATATTTCTTCTCCATGTAACGACTGTGAATCACATAAGTGAACATAACTACACTTGGTGATTGCCAAACTGTTTGAACTAACTAAATAGGCTCTCAACTACTTCATATTTCCCCATCTTAGTGCAAACTTCATTATAGCAGTATAGTCTAGTTAGCTTATTCAATTCCTCTCATTCTCTAATTTCATTGATGAGCAATATTTTGAACTCATACTTTGAGCTTTTTCTTGAGTTAATAAATTTTTAATTGTGCTTAATTGATTAATTCTAGCTATTTTAATTCAAGTTGCATTAGTTGAGCTTTATTGGAAAAATCTCCTTAATTTCATTACTTTGACTATTCTAACATTTGTTCATTAATTCTGTAATATCTGTTCCCGAGGTTAAACATTTGAGGAGATTCCTATTTTTATAGAAAGTTGATTCATAGAAATTTGATATATCATTTGTGAATTTTGGATTTCAGATTTGGAAGATATGAGCATCTAAAGCTGATGATGATTTGCTTACAAAAAGTAATCACTATTCTCACAAAAAGTAATCACTCCAAAACATGTTTTCAAGAGTTCAGTCTGCGCATTGTGTAACATCCTAATTTTTGCTCCCTTCCATGTTCACGTGTGTAATGTGATTTCCCTTTTTCTTTCTCTCAAAGATAATTCAATGTGTTTTATGAAATTTTATTATTTTGGTTAAAGAAGTTTTGGTATAAAAGTATTTCTTTTATTTTGTTCAAATAATTTGTCAGTATGTGTTTGATGTTTTAAGAGATGGATCTCAATGCTTTGAATTATTTAGAAATCCCGTAATTATATTGAGTTTCAAATGCTATACGCACTAGCAGAGGTAGCGCAGTAGTAGAAGGGTTAGTCCTTAATCAGGAGTTGGAAGTCTTTGGTTTCAAATCTCAGCAAGGTAGATTTTGCTTCAACAAGTTTGTTTTGGAATGAATTGTGAAATGACCAAACTGCCCTCAAAATATCACGCATTAATGAGATAAGTGGCAAAACCATAAGATAGGTGGCAATAGGTGGAAAAATGTGGCGAGCCCTTACATGTGTGATGACATGTGGCAGCCACATGTCGAAGAAGGAAAAGCACTTACATGCGTGACATGTGGTAGTCACGTGTCGAAGTAGGAGAAGCTCTTACATGCGTGATGACATGTGGCAGCCACGTGTCGAAGAAGGAGAAGCCCTTGCATGTGTGATGCCATGTGTCAGCCACGTGTCGGCGAAGGAAGACCAGCCCTTGCATGTGTGACACATATGTAGCTATGTGTTGAAAGGTTGGCAAAAACCAAAATTCATTCTTCCTGTCATAAAGCTCGTTTTCACTCTCTTTTCTGATTTCTATCTCTCGTACGGTTTCTCTTTTCTTCCCCACCACTCATCCTTACTCTTTGAACATCCAAGCAAGGTAAAAACACTCTTTCATCCTTGTTCCTTAGTGTTTTCACTGATCAAAGTAAAGAGATGATGTTTTTGCACCTCCTCCATGAAAAAGTTTTAAGCTTTCTGTGTCCAGCCACTGTGTGAGTCAGTTTTGACCATTTGAATGTATTTTTTTTAGCCTAAACTCTGGATATTTGGATTGTTCAGTAAAAAATCTTTCCAACCCAACTTGTTTCACTCAAAACGGACATCAAATCGTTGAGTTATAAGGAAAACGGTAAAACTCCTTCTTGTTTCTGCGTTTTTTGTGTTACAGCAACAAGAGAGACTAAGTTTCATTTTTATGGTCCCTGAACCTTGAATGCAATTATTCCTTCATGATCCTCAAAGAGTTAGCTTTCAAACACAAGTGGTTTCACTCAAAACGAACATCAGATTCACAAATTGTGATGAAAACAATGAGATCTCTTCCTTGTTGTGCGTTTCTGTGTTTCAGCAGCAACAAAGGTCACTTTTCTTGCTTCTCTAGTCTCCAAACTTGACATGCAAATATCCTTCTATGTTCCTTGCAGAAATACCTTTCCAACAATACATCGTGAGCTTAAATTTGACATCGTTTGCCCCCTCAATCACCTAGAGTATGTGAGTACCTTCATTCTTACTTTTTTATACAGAAATAGTGTTAAGAATGAATTTTCATGCCCTCTGTATTGATCTCTTTCAATCTGAAATTTTTATTTTCATAAACTACATGAAGATAGCTTTTCGACGCACAATCTTAAGCTTGATTTGGAGTTTGTTTCACTACTCAATGACTTGATCTCGTAAGTATGACCCAATCTGAATTTTGTTAGTCCAACAGCCACTGTTTTTCAATTTTTGGGGAAAATTCATATAGATAAACTGATGTGTAACTATTCCATCTTGTTCCTTGTTGTCTTAGCTTTCCAATACACTTTACGGCTCGTCAATCGGACTCCAATTGATCAAGATATGCGCAAAATGGTGAGACGTATGCAAAGTGGAAAGCTTCATAGAGGAAGTATGCGTTTTTCACTTTGCATGCAAACTGTTCTACATATTTTACTTGCTAAACCTCCTTGTTTTTAACTTGACCTTATTCCTTCACATAGTATACTTCATTAGCTTTCTATAGCCACTTTCGGAGTAAGATTTGGAGCAAAGATCAAGGAGAAAAACTATTTTTACCATGCTATATCTGATTTTGAAAAATTTATGAAGACAATGAAAATAATACATTTTTAAATCCCGCTTCATCCAACTTTATGAATATTCATAAACACTTATGAAATTATTGTAATTAGATCTTTCTAACAAGCTATCTTAAGCCCATTTTCGATCTCATTTGCTAAGTCGAAATGTCGGGACAAGCGGAGGTCTCATTTCAAAATTCAGCAGACACACTCTGTATTAATATGAGTGCTGCGACCAATATGTATTTACAAAAATTTGAATGAGCATATTTTTATAAACCTCGGTGTTTTAGCTTTCAAACAAAATTGGATGGACTTGATTTGGATCACAATTTAATGAGATATACAATTTTTAATGAAGCTATCTCAGAATTGTGTTTTCTCTGCTAACATCAGAAAAAGTCTTCTTTTTGAACCACTTGCATGTGATTTTATTGACATGCATTCATATACTTGTGTTCCTTATGACATAACCTTTTCATCAAGCTATCCTATGCACAATTTGAAATCCATTTGATCTTTCAACGACATGCGCGAACTAAGTATCTCAAATCTGCCAAAACAATCCATGACAATCAAAACACATCTATGTAAAATCATTATTTTATACCACCTGCTTACATGGAAAATTATTTTAAGAATATCTCCATAATCCTTAGGATGTTAGTTTTTAAACCCCTTATGTGGGACTCAATTTGGAGGTCATTTCCCCTGCTTTTGGTCCAAAACTCTCAAGCTGCCCAATGCGGAATTTTGTAGAAAATGTTTTTATGAAATTGCATGTGGCAGCAACTTTCTCTCAATCTCTGGAAAAATATGCATGTGAAAATATTTCCTAACCATGTTCCTATATTCTAGGTTATATAAGCTTTCTAACAAGCTATCCCAAGTTTGAATTGAATTCCATTTTCTTCCCCAAAGAACGAGGATAAGTCAACAACTCATTCTCTAAATCGTGACTATTTTACCTTTCCAAAGAGCTATCTTGAGCTCAATTTGTATACCATATCACTCAATTACCCTCTATTTGGTAAGTGTACCGAAACTTGAAATTATAGTTGTTCAGAACTAAGCACCCTGTTGTACTGATACTATTTTTAGCTAACTAAAATTATTTGACTCAGTTAAAAACCTCCTCTAATGAGCTTTGTGTTTGTTTCCTTGAATGAGAAATGCGTCAGTACCTTGCACACTTCATTCAAATTCTAAACGCCTAAGTTATGGGTTCAATTGCAGGAACAACTTGGAAAGAATGATTATCGATCCCGTTGAGAAAAAACGCAAGTACAACCCAAACAAGGTTGGAAGTGGAGCGTATTTCCCCACCAAACTAAGTTACTCTCTAAGGTGAGGGGGGAAACTTTCATATGACTCAAGTTAGGAGTTGAGAGAATGGATAAGAATACACTTGATGAAATTATAAATGTTGTGTGTTGTTGAAAGCTCTTGAGAATTCCTCACTCTCTTGAGTTTATAGATATATATTTGATATTGAGATTGATATGTTTGCTGGTGTTACTATAGTGCACATATATATGTGAAATTGTGTGATTGAATGCTAAGTTAAGCAAAATTTCATGGTAAGT